TCAACTCATTTGCTCATTTTTCCCTAGCACTTCCACCCCGTCTGTGACACTGTGTCATATTACCTCTGAGCTCGTCTGTATCGCTGGGTGGTCCACCCTACCATGCAGGAACTTGTTCTTTGCCAGACGCTCGAGCACAGCGGGCGTGTGATCAGTATTTGGGAGGTGATCCTGACTGCCCCCACTGGGTGGCTTCGCAGGCCCGAGTGACACCCATAGGTTGAGTTCTGTGTGTGCCATTCCTGTCCTCACCTGGCCACCCTTGCCCTCAGTGCCCCTGTTGCGGGTGACTTCGGGCCTCACGCCACATGTAGCTGGCAGTCCATGGCGTAGTGGGGTCTGGTGGGCCTGGGCAGCTTAAACAGGAGAGAAGCCGGAGGCCAGCGGTGCTGGGTGCTGACTCATGCGAAAGCCTTGCATCGCGATGATCCAGGCTCGGGAGCAGAGACACCTGTCCGCCGGCTGGTTGAGGGGAAGCGCTTGTGTTCTCGCAGCGCGGAGCCCACAGCTCTCTGGTGAGGGTAGAGAATCGTCCTGATTGCTGTTGGTTCTCTGGCTGTGTGCTTTTAAGTGGTTTGTGTTTTTGATACTTGCTTTAGTACTGGAGATTGAACCCAGGGAATGCTAAGCTAGACATCCCTAATTTAATTTTTTAAATTACTTTATTTTTTGGTACGAGGGATCAAACTCAGGACCTTGCACTTTTGGGGCGGGCAGGGTGCCACTGAGCTAAATCCCCAGCCCATTTTGTGTTTGTTTACTTATTTATTGTTTTTATTACTGTTAGTACCAGGGATTGAACTCTGGACCTTGCGCTTGTGATAGCAGGTGGCAGCACCGCTGAGCTAAATCCCGAGCCCCTCACTTTTAAGACAAGGTCTTGCTAAGTTACCCAAGCTGAACTCGGACTTACAGTCTTTTTGTCTTGGCCTCCCAAGTCGCCTGGATTACAGGCTTGTGGCACCATTCCGGCCTTAAGTGGGTTTCAAGTGAATGAAAATGTAAAAAGGGAGGCAATTCCAGTGAATACAGTGATACAAGACTCTCAGTGCTAAAAATACTACTTGAGGTAGGGCTGGGGACACATCATAGTTTGTCATGATGACGTGGGTCTTCGTTTCTGCCTGTAGTGTAGGGCAGGGCTCTGCCCCTGTACATTCCGAGGGAAGCAGCTCTCGCCTGGGAATAGGCACATGTTCCCACGGACCATGCATGCCTCACCTGTGTTTGGGGTCGCAGGTGAGAACGCCCACGTCAGGTCAGGGGAGGAGGAAGCAGTGCTGGTTTCTCCAGAGCCACCCTGCCCGGCCTCCTGCCCACCTGCCAACCTGCCGAGCACAGTGCAGCGCCTGCTGACAAACAAGTCAGTCCGGAACAAGTTTCTCTGGGTCCAGCACGGAGACCAGTTGGGGCTGCTGGAAATCCAGCCAGTCTGCAGCAGGCTCTCCGATGCGATGCAGACGCGGTCCCAGCAGCAGAGTCCGGGCGGGTCTGCTGGCCTCTCCTGGTCGGGGCCTGCCCTGCGGCAGGTGCCACTGCTCCCCTTTGCTCATAAGTGAGAGCTGAGAGGGCCCGAGGAAGGGGCTGGGTGCCTCCTCCTAAAGCAGCCGGGGCCCACATTCGAATGACAGTGGATGTTTCTATTTTCAGTGATCTTTTGAGAGCTGAGAGTATAGATTGCACCCTACCACTGAACTACCCTTTTTATTTCTGTTTTTTTGGTCCTGGGGACCGAAGTTGGTTCCTTGCTCTTGTGGGGCAGGTGGCAGAACCAACTGAGCCAAATCCCCGGCCCTTTCATTTCAGTTTTGAGACAGAGTGACTGTGTCGTTGTCCAGGCTGGGCTCACACGTGTGATCCTCCTGCCTCGGTCCCTGGAGTTGCTGGGATGACAGGAAGTAAGTGATGATAGAGGAGAGGTAGGTTAAGGTTAATGCAGTCCTCGGATCCTTTCCTCTTTCACTTCCGTAAAGGCACTTTCTGAGCCACGTGTGGTGGCGCAAGCCAGTATCATTCCAGCACTCAAGAAGCTGAGGCAGGTGGGATCACTGCTGGATTGAAGCCAGCCTGGGCTCCATAGTGAGTTCAAGGCCCACCTAAACTACATAGCAAGACCCTGTCTCCAGAAATAAAAACAAAATTCAAAATAAGGGGCTTCCTGGGCAAGCAATCTGGAGATTGTTTCCTAGGTTTTCTTATAGCCTAGAGTTGTTTCCTTAAGAGATTAAAAAACAATCTAGATATAAAGTAATGGGTTAACAGTGAAAAACAAGCAGCATCAAAACCAGCAGGTGTCTGTGCTGTGGGAAGAAGCACCCAGCATGAGCCTTCAGAGAGTGCTGGTGGCCACTGCTGAGGCTGATTGCCTGGTGGTGTTTTTTGTGTTTTGGGTCTCTCTGGTGGTACTGGGGCTGGAGTCCAGAGCTTCACGTGTTAGTCCAGTGTCTCACCACTATGCTACATTCTCAAACCACCCCACTACTCCCCGCTCTCTTTTGTACTAGGGATTGAACTCAGGGCCTTTGCATTGAGCTATATCCCCAGCTGTTTTTATTTTTTGAGACAGGATCTTGCTAAATTGCCCAGGCTGGGCTTGAACTCATGATCCTCTTGACTCAGGCTCCCAGAGTGCTGAGATTACAGGTGTGCGCCACCGTGTCTGGATCCTTTTATTTTTTATTTTGAAGAGGGTCTCGCTGGCTTGCCCAGCCTAGCCTCAGATTTGCACTCCTGCCGCAGCCTCCTGAGCACCTGGGAGTGCAGCCATGCACCACCGAGCCTGGCTTGGTGCCCATTCCGTTTGGGCGGCCTTCAGGGCGTGGACTTAAGTGTGTATTGCTGTTACAGCAGAGCAGCACTGGGTCCAGGTGTGCCTGATTTGGTCCCTTCCTCATCCTTCTGGTCCTTGTGCTTTTTTAGTGATGCCAAAGTTTCCACACGTGGGTACGTGGTGTTCCGCTCACTGGGCCCCTGTTCCTGTGATGAGGCCAAGTCACTTCCTGACCTGCCAGCCCTGGGAACCTGGGAGCCTGCTTTCCTTGCGTGGCCTCCTGGTGCTGACTGGCTGTCTCCGCTTTCCACTGTTAAGTCTCTGCCCAGAGCCCTTTGCTTCCTGTCGCGTGTCCCTGGCTGCCTGCCCAGGTTCCCAGACTGTCCTGCTTCAGGAAGCCTTGGACGCCCTGGACCCAGGGACTGCACGTCTGGTTGGCTCCTGCCCGGACACATGCTGGTCACGCTTGCCATTTTGCCTGTGTCCCTTTGTCCTTTGCTTTACTCAACTGTGATGTGTGGCCCCCAGGGTTGCCACTGGTTGCAGTGCTGTAGAGAGCTACCCTGCAAGTGGCTTAGCGTAGAGGGACTTTGCAGGAGTCGAGGCAGCACCCCAGAAGCCACCTACAGTGCCAGGGCCATGGGGGTGACCTTGCTGAAAACACCAGGTCTTTAATACAGAAAGGAAGAACAGGGGCATTGTGTGATGGGGAAGAGGTCGTTCCTGCCTTCAGATCCTGTTCTCTTCCGTAATTCCTGGTGGAGTTGTGTAGAGCCCAGGGCACGCAATTCCGTGGTCTTCATCCCTCTACTGTTAGTAGTAGGATCCCGCAGGTGGGGGATTTATAGGGGCAGGCATTTCCTTGGCCCACAGCTGGAAATCTAGGGCATGGTGACAGTGTCCAGCAAGAGACAGCTGTTGGTTGGACGCACTTGTACCACAGCCCGCCCACCGGTCTCCGTTACTGGGGTGGAACCCAGGGCTCACATGTGCTGGGCGAGGATTCCACCAGCCTTTTTCATTGTAGCTTGAGACAGGGTCTCACTGAGTTGCCCACGCTGGCCTCAGCCCTCCCTCAGAGTAGCTAGGATGACAGGCCTGGTCTCTAACAACCCATTCTCACCGTGACTAGGATTCTGCCCTCATGGCCCGGTGACCTCTTACACTGCCACTTTGGGAGTTAGGGTTCCAGCATGTGAATTTTTGGGGGTTGCAGTCAAACCACAGCTTCTACAAGCTGAGCCAACTGCCGGCGGGGCCTGACCCACCCCAGCCCTTTGGAGTAGCTGGCTGGCCTGGCGGGCTTGGCAGCAAGCAACCCTTCCCCAGCTCAGTGTCCTCATATGTGTGGCGTGCGTGCGTGTGTGTGTGTGTGTGTGTGTGTGTGTGTGTGGCATGTGTGTGCGCGTGTTAGGAGCCCAGTGACTCTGGCTCCTGCATGTGGTAGGAGATTGAAGGGCTTGCTGTGAGTGGCCACAGTGACACACCCACCGGATGGGCCCTGAGCATCTACTCAGAGACTGCGGCCTGGGCGGCGCCTCCTGCTGGTCATTGCTTTGCAGCTGTCAGCTCCTTCCGGGAAGCTCACTGTGGCCATGGCCTCCTGACCACAGCTTTTTTTCCTAGCCCCAGTGGTCTTGTGGCGTCCCTGAGCTAGAGGCAGGAAGGGCCAGGGAGGTGCGTCCGCAGAGACACCACCACCCAGTCCAGGCCCTTCCTTTCTCTAGCTAGATCCACTGCCCTGTACTTTCTCTGTCACTAAGATGTAAGTCATGGGGAGGCAGCAGCATGTCACAGCCCCCCAGATTTGAAAATGTCCCTTCCTGTGTCTTCATGACATTGAGGTAGATTAAAAGATCCCCTCTCTTGAGGCCAGGGATGTAGCTCAGTGGCACTGCATCTGCCTCACAAGTGCAAGGTCCCGAGTTTGATCCCCGGTACTGAAAAAAAAGATCCCTGCTCTACCCCCACCTTTTTCTGTGGTGCTGGGAGTCAAACCCAGGGCCTGTTACATGCTAGGCAAGTGCTGTACCCCTCAGCTCCAGGCCCAGACTTTTTTTCTTTTTACTTTTTGGCAGGAGAGTAAGCCCCCAGCTTATGAACGTTTGAGTTGTGGACTTTGATAGATACAGATGGACCTCACATTACAAACATTTGTAGATGTGAACAAATCACAGAAGTAGCTCACATGTCTGCCAGTTAAAATAGTTTATTTACAGTGTCTCTGTGTGTATGTTTGGTTTTTTAATGTTTTATGTTATATATTTGTGTCAAAGGTGAAGTTGGACTTACAAAGAAATCCATCTTACAGACTTCTTGAACTCATTCGTAAGTCAGGGACTTACTGTACTAAAGATAAAATTCAGGGCCTTTCCACTGGAAGGCTGAGGCAGGAGGATTCCAAGCCAAAGCCTAATGTGAGCAACTTGTAGCTTAGTGTGAAGAACTGGGGTGCAATTCCCAGTACGACCCCCCCGCAACTTGACAAATTGGCCATCATTAGACTTAAGAATTTCTCTTCATCACAAGATTCTACCATGGGTGAGAAGAGGTGAGTCACCAAAAATAGGGAGTTGCAACTACATGTCTCCAATAAAAAGCAGAAACCTGGGCACTTCACAGAAGTGGGCCTGTGCAGGCCCAGACAGCACAGGGAGAGGTGCTGTGCCGGGAGAACCAGGGAAATGGAGGTGAGAGCCAAAAGGGGCCACTGTGAGTCCACCAGGACCACAGCCCCAAGCCCAAGCTGCGGGCCACTCACCGCTGCCTCTGTGTGTGCCCTGTGCAGTTAACAGCCAGCTTTGCCCTGGAAGTGTGTGCCCGTCCAGCAGATGGCGCTGTGGGTGACAGCTCAGCTCTGTGGCCAGCCCTGGTCCCTGACCTCTGGGAATGTGAGGGAGGGACAAAAGGAAGAGTCCTCCGCATGCCCAGCAGGAGGTGTGACTGGCAGGTATGATGATGAGCAGGAGGACACTGCAGGACCCTACCCCCACTCCCGTACCGGGATCGAACTCAGGACCTTAGTGAGCTACGCTCCGGCCCTGCAGGATCCTCCTTCTAAAAACTTTTAAAAGGGCTGGGGAGGTAGCTCAGTGGTTTCGCTGCCTGCCTCGCGAGCACAAGGTCCTGAGTTCAATCCCTGGTACCCCCCAAAACTAAAAATAAAAAAAATACTTTAGTTATTTTAAGTATACATTTGTGATGCATAATAAGTATGTTAATTGTGGGAAGTCGGCACATCCATCTACCACATCTCCATCCTTTTTTTTTTTTTTTTTTGGTACTGGGAATCGAGTGGATCCTTTTTACTTTTCCCCTTCTCCCTTCTGTCTGCCCCTGTCCCCAGAAACCTTTCTCTGTTCCACAAAATCGACCTGTTTCCTAGCCATCCTTTATTTTGCATTTAAAAAAAATTTTTTTTTTTTTGGTTCTGGAGATTGAACTCGGAACCTTGTGCTTGCGAGGCAGGTGGCGGCAACACTGAGCTAAATCCCCAGCGCTATTTTGCTTTTTATTTTGTTGTTGTTGTTGTTGTTGTTGTTTTTTGGTACCGGGGATTGAACTTGAGTCCTTGCGCTTGCAAGGCAGGCCACCGAACCACTGAGCTAAATCCCTGGCCCCACTATTTTGCTTTTTTAATCCTTTATTCTTTGGCTTTCCCATGTAAGGGAGCCTGTGCACTCTTACCCTTCAGAGTCTGGCTCATGGCTCCGGGATTCTCTAGAGTTGCATTCAGGAACAGGTGATGCTAATCTCCAGGTCAAGGTCTGCGCCCCACCCCCTTCTGTGTGGTCTAGGGTCTTTCCATGTGTGCCCCCCACCGAGCCTGGCCTGCAGCTCAGGGACGGTAAGGTCAGACGTGCTCAGAGCCCAGCCTGAGGCCCATGGAGCCACTTCCCAGCCCCCACCATGGTGCTGGCCCAGCCAGGGCTCCAGCAGGGTCAAGGCCTGCGTCCCCAACGGGCAACCCCTCTGTGACCTGCTCTGCTGTGTGGCTTAGAGCCAGTGTGCACAGTCTGTGTTCCCAGGGCCCTGAGCTCCAAGCAAAGGGATGAGTTGACTGATGGCCCCACACGCTTGCTGGGTACCCTCAGCCTCTTGCAGATCGAGCGTCTCAGAAGTAGATGGTGTCCCATTGGGGCCCAGAGGTTTCTTTGGAGCAGGATCTTGTCATGGGGTTGGCACTGCTGTGGGGAGCAGGCATTCCTGGGGGCCAGGACAGCATCCGGGATGTGGTGGGCGGAAGGGCGGGGAGGCATATGCGAAGCATGGATACAAGTAGAGCTGTGATTTCAGGGTCACGCCCAGGGTGTGCTTGCTGACCTGCCTACCTTTTAAAATTTACTTTGGGTTTTTTTGTTTTGTTTTGTTTTTGGTACTGGGGATTGAACTTTGGCCCTTGCTCTTGCAAGGAAGGTGGTACCACTGAGCTAAATCCCTAGCCCATTACTTCGGTTTTTTGAGACACATTATATAGTCAAGGCTGGCCTCCGCCTTGAACTTGACATCCTCCTGCCTCAGCCTCCTGAGTGCTAGGGTTACAGGTGCGGGTCACTGTGTCCATCTGCAGGTGTCTGCTTCAGTGAAGGGGAGGCTCTCCTGTGTGGCCTGGATTGTTTGGCTGTCAGTTTGAGTTTGCATGACTCAGGATAAAGAGCTTCAGGTGTGAAAGAAGCCGTCAACCACTGACTGACACAGGATTTGGAAGTCTGTGACAGCGCTGCTGTCTTTTCCACTGCTTTGGAGCCCTCAGTAGCCTGAGAGAGGGACATGGGGGAGATAGGTCCACAGGAGCCTCAGCCGTGTCCACCTGCTGTGTCTCAGGGCAGAGTGACTGCAGGTCCTCCGTGCGGGCAGCCCCGGCCGGGCGCCAGATTGTAGAAAGTGTTTTGGGAGGTCGCGTGGGCTTGGAGCTGTCACCGAGCAGAGGCTGGGTGTGTCCCGAGTTGGACAGCAGATGTGTGCACCTCACATGGGGCAGAGCCAGGGCAAGTTGTGTTTCCAGGAGTTTCTCTGTGGTAAAACAAAGTTTGGTTTTCCATGAGCTCTCTGGGTCTCTTGGATTTGTGGGAAGGGATCATGAGCTGGGGATGCTGATTCCCCAGTGCAGGTTTTCTTCAGACCCTGCCCTTTGGGGAATTTATAGGAGGCTGAGAGGAGGAAGGAGTGGAGGAGATTTCTTCAGTGTAGCATATCTGTGTATTTTGGTCCTATCCATCCATCCATCTATAATCTACCTACCTATACATCACCTGTCTGCCTGTTTATCTATCGTCTACCTCCTCACCTCTCTATCTGCACCTGCCTTTCTGGGAGGCAAGGCCTCACTATCTTGCCCAGACTGACTTCTAATTCCTGGCCTCAAGCGATCCTCCTGTCTCAGCCTTCTGAGTTCCTGGGACCTCAGGCCTGCACCACCATGCCAGTTTTTTTCAGGATCGGCTGAAGCACTGGTCACTGGTCCCTGCCCTGTGGAGATTTCTGGTCCTTTGCTCTCTGATTTTCCAGGAAAATGAAATGATTTAGTTTGGGCTTTTAAGTTAAAATTGTTTTCAATTAAGGGAATTTAAAATGTTCCCACATTCCTCCTGTTCTTTTTTAGTACCGGAGATTGAACTCAGGTCCTGGCGCTTGCGAAGCAGTGGCCAGAACCACTGAGCTAAATCCCCAGCCCACCTCCTGTTCTTTGAAGAGGCACAAAGAGGTTTATTAGGCAGAACTTCAAAGGTGCACTTCCAGGAGACAAAAAGAATTAATATTGATGTGTACATGTATCAGTGCTGAGTTTCATCATTTCATCCTGCAAGTAGGTACCAATAAAGCAAAAATAAAACAAAATTATACAGCAAGAGTGTGGGCCAGAGAGAAAGAGAGGCAGACAGACAAACGTACTGCTTACACTCCTGTAGAATTTGTTTAGAGCCAGAAGCACTGAGGAAAGTTTAGGGACAGGTGATCCATTACAAAAGATGAAAGGCAGAGGAAACAATGCACCAGATGTATGAAGTGTGCAGCCTGAGAGGTGCTTTGAAAAGCAGCAAGGAATGTCAGGAGGGTGTTCAGCAGGAGGCCTGGAGGGTGAGGGACGAGGGTTCTTTTCTCATCCTGCGCAAGGGCAGCAGCACTTCGCGTCGGTGTCTGGTGGGATTAAGGTGATTTTAGTTTCTGTATTGTTTGTGTTTTCCAAATGTGATCCATGTGTGTGCATTAAAGATTTATTTCTTATTTCTTATTTCTTATTATTATTTTGGTACCGGATTTCGAACTCGGGACCTTGTGCTTACAAAGCAGGCGGCAGCACAACTGAGCTAAACCCCCGGCCCATGCATTAAAGATTTATTAAGGCTACGTCTTAGTCTCTTATGGCTGCAGTCACAGGTTGCCTTAGACTGGGTGGCTTGTAAACAACAAATCCATTTCTCAGCCGGGAGGCTTTGAAGTCCACGATCAAGGTACCTGCCGATTCTGTGATGGTAAGGGCTGTTTCCCTGCAGATGGCACCTTTTCTGTTGTGTCTTCACGTGCTGGAAGGAGACAGGGTCTCTCTAAAGGCACTAATCTGCTTGCAGGTGGTGCACACTTGTAATGTCAGCACCCTGGGAAGCTGAGGCAGGAGGAATGCAAATTAGAGCCCACTCTGGGTAATTTATTGACTTAACATGACCCTGTCTCAAAATTAAAATTAGAGGGCTGGTGATGTAGCTTAGTGTGAAGGCCGGGAGTTCCATCCCCAGTAGCTCTAAAAAAAGGAAATTACAAGAAGAAACTAATCCCTGTTCATGAGGGCCCTGCCTCCTATTGCCATCTCATTGGCAAATAGGTGTTAGACGTAGGAACGGGGAGGGGAAGGTACAGGCAGCCCAGCAGTGACCAGCCATGCAGCTCTACCTAAACTGAGAATCTGAAAGTGAATCTTATTTTTTCTGGTACCAAGGATCAAACTCAGGACTTTGAGCTTGTGAGGCAGGCGCGATGCAACTGAGCTAAATCCCTGGCCAAAGTGAACCTTTTTCTAGGAAATATTTACACTGTCTATCAGTGGCTGGCTGGGGCTGTTCAGTAAGTGGTACCTCACTTTCTCAGCCTGAGGGCGGCCTTGGATTCACCCCCCACCCCAGAATCAGTGTGTGGCCCTATTTATTGGTATCCTCAGATGTCTTAGCTGATTTTTGGATATGTAGGGGCAGTAGTTCATAGTTCTGAAGGACCCAAGGTTTAGTGGTGTCACTGCCTGCCTTGAAAGTGCATGGATCCGAGTTCGATCCCTGTACCCCCCCCCAAAAAAAACAACCCAGATAGTTCTGGGTATCAGTTTTTACTATGCAACATTAGTTATGAAACTTCAGACATTTGAGTATCACTCTTAAATTATTTTAAATACCATGGAGCTAATATATGTATGATACTTTCCTCTAAGTCAGCATACTTCTACATTATTTTTTGGTGTGCTGGGAATCAGACCATCAAATCCAGGGCCCTGCACATGCTGAGGACGTGCTAAAGCTGGGTGTGGTGACGCATGCCTGTCATTCAGCACTTGGGAAGCTGAGGCAGAATTGCCATGAGTTCAAGACCAGCCTGAACTACTTAGAAAAACCCAGTCTCAAAAAAAAAAAAAAAAAGGACCGGGGATTTAGCTCAGTGGTTCCGCCACCTGCCTTGCAAGCCCAAGGACCCGAGTTTGATCCCCAGTACCAAAAAACAAGAAAAGCAAACAAATAAATAAACACAGTAAGAACGTGTTCTACCATTAAGCTACACCCCAAACCCTGAACCCGCCCCCCTTCAGCACTTAGAATTAAACCCAGGGCTTTTGCACTGAGCTACATCCAATTTCTTTTTTTTTTTTTTTTTTAAGAGTAGGAAGAAATTATTGAAAGATAGCTTCTGTTTAAGGGAGGGGCCAGAAAAAGGGTTGCTCTACCAAGTTCTTTTATTTCTATGTGCATATAAATTTGATTTTATTATTATTTGTTTTAATCCTGAGACAGGGTTTTGCTGTTGCTAAGTTGCCTGAGCTGGGCTTGAACTTGTGATCCTTTTGCCTAAGCCTCCCAGAGTGCCAGGATTGCAGGTATGTGCCACCATCCCTGGCTTGCGTTTACTTTTTATTTATTTTTGTTTTTTTGAGACAGGGTCTCACTATGCAGTCCAAACTGGCCTTGAACTTGTGTTAGTCCTGCCTCAGCCTCCCAAGTGCTGGGATTATAGGTGTGTATCACCACGCCCTGCTTAAATTCATTTTTTAAAATTTAAATTCATTTGTTTTATTTTTCTAAATTCACTTGTTTTAAAGAAAAGTTGTTTTCACCATGTTCATTGGGACGCCAGTGTCACTTACTGTGAATATTTGCTCCAGCTAAGTTTGTGGCGTTCTAGTCAGTGCTGCCTGTCCCCTTGGTCTTGCCTCCTTTCTTCCTTTTTTTTTTGGTACCGGGGATTGAACTCAGAACCTTGAGCTTGGGAGGCAGGTGGTGGAACCACTGAGCTAAATACCTGGCCCTCTTTTTTTTGGACAAGGTCTCACACTAGCCAGGGCTGGCCTCAAACTCTAGGTGATCCCTCCTGTTTCAGCTTCCTGAGTGTTGGGATTACAGGGTTTGCCCTTCTCTTTTGCCAGATGGAAAGATTAGCGAGTGTGGAGCCAGGTGAAGGGGTGTTAGCACCCCTGAGCCGCTCTCTGGGTTGGGGAGGGAAGCTGGCCAGGGAGGCTGACGCGCCTGTGGGCAGGAGCCCCCGGGCCTGTCCATGTGCCACTCCTTTCAGGGTGGCAGCTGAGGTGGTTTTGTGTGCCCTGGGTACCTTACCTTCTGTGGAGGAATCACGGAAGGGCTTGGGGGCAGGGCTGGGGACTGGCTGTCCTCCTGCCTGCCCTGCCCCTGCCTGCTGTGGCCGAGCCCCTGCACTGACCGGCGCTTCTTCCCAGCAGGAGGTCGCTGTCCACAGCTCCTGTGAAGATGTCCACTCCAGACCCACCCCTGGGCGGAACTCCTCGGCCTGGCCCTTCCCCGGGCCCCGGCCCCTCGCCTGGAGCCATGCTAGGCCCTAGCCCTGGCCCCTCGCCGGGCTCTGCCCACAGCATGATGGGGCCTAGCCCGGGGCCTCCCTCGGCGGGACACCCCATCTCCACCCAGGGCCCTGGAGGGTACCCTCAGGACAACATGCACCAGATGCACAAGGTAGGGACCAGAGCGGCCTGGCTTGGCTGTAGTGCCCCTCGGGCCGCTGCTGTGAACCGAAGGCTCGGGCGAGATCCCATCTTGAGCATGAGGGCGAGCGGTCATCCCTCCCTGTGTCCCCCGCTCCCCATCTTCTGTATGGGGGTTCGGGAGCGGTGCTCTGAAGTTTTCTTTCATCCCAGAAGAAAATACTCACGCCCCAGCCAGGAGCCCCCGCCTCGTCAGGGAACACGTGCCCAGGCCCATGCCGACGCTCAGCAAAGATCAGGGCCACCTCTGCCGCCTCAGCGGTGCGCGTTCCCTCTCCTCACGTCTCCGCTCTGCCTCGGCGCCTGTAGGAGAGGAGACAGTGCTTTCTCTCGGCACCCTAGGAGCCTAAAGATGCGATGCCATCTGCTGCTCCTCCCTGCCAGGCTGTTTGCACCTCATGCCCCCTGCCATCCACCCTGCGGCCCCCAGGTCTCAGGGTACTATCCCATTTTATTCGAGGAAGCAGGGCCTCTGCACACCCAGCCTTCCCTCCCTCCTGGCTATCCTTGGAGCCCATCTGTGCTGTGGCCTGCGTCCAAGGCCTTCCCTTCTTCCTGCCTGCCCATATCCTAGGCCAGTGATGGCGAGCCTTTTAGAGCAGAGGACCTAAACTACCACCCCAACCCCACTTCTTTATTGAGAAGTGCCAACACTGCAATAAACCTGAATCCTGAGGGTTTAGTTTAGAAAAAACAACTTATGAACTTTTTTTTTTTTTTTTGTTGTTATGGGGATTGAACTCGACACCTTGTGCTTGAGAGGCAGGCAGCAGAACCACTGGGCTAAATCCCTGGCCCTACATGGACATCTTGTCTTAAAAAGAAACACGACGTATACAATAGGTTCACCATCACTGTCCTAGACTTATCTTTTTATTTTATTTTTTTAAGGTACCAGGGATTTTACTCAGGACCTTAGGCTTGCTAGGCAGGCGAGATGCCACTGAGCTAAATCCTCCATCCTAGATTTCCTTTTTTTTTTTTTTTTTTTTTTTAAGGTCCCAGGGATTTTACTCAGGGCCTTAGGCTTGCTAGGCAGGCGAGATGCCACTGAGCTAAATCCCCCATCCTAGATTTCCTTTTTTTTTTTTTTTTTTCTTGGTACTGAGGATTGAATTTGGAACCTTGCACTTCTGAAACAGGTGGTGGAACCACTGAGCTAAATCTCCGGCCCCTGGATTTTCTTTTTTTGAGGCCGGTCCCACTATGTAGTTCAGGCCGGCCTCAAACTCATGATGATCCTCTTGCCTCAGCCTTCCCAGTGCCCATATCCGAGATAGGTGTGCTACCCGAGGCTTAGCAGGGGCTAAGCCTGCAGAAGGGCTGGACAGGGCCCCTTCAGCAGCCACTCCCCTGGGGGATGCTCTCCCTTGGCCATCACCAGCGCTTACCCAAGTTGGGAGATGCAGGGATGGGGATCTTACTGCTGTCGCACCCTCCTGGGCAGACCTATCTGCCTGTTCCGGTGTGTAGTCTCCAAGGCAGAGGCTCCTTGGTCCTCAGATCCCTGGTCTGTCTCCTTGTCACTGTGCAGGGAGCCGGTGTCCAGGCGGAGGCGGCTGTGACCTCGAGCTGCTCCAGGTTTCTTTTCCTTGAGGGACTCTGCCCGCCCTTCCCCGTTCCCTCCTCAAGCTGCCCTTACCTCCAAAGCATCACGGTGCCCCTCCTTGGGTATATGTGGATCTGCCTGACATCCAAGCAGGCGTCCTGACTTAGAGCTGGGCCCCAAGGTCCTGTTGGTGTCCAGGAGATGCTGGGCAGCCGGGGCGGATGCTGGTGACGATGCCGTTCTCCTGCCCATCTGCTGACACCGCTGTCGTTCCCCCTGCAGCCCATGGAGTCCATGCACGAGAAGGGCATGTCGGAGGACCCGCGCTACAACCAGATGAAGGGCATGGGGATGCGCTCGGGCGGCCACGCAGGCATGGGGCCCCCGCCCAGCCCCATGGACCAGCACTCCCAGGGTAAGGCTCTGTTCTTTCCTGTCCTGCCCCGGTCACACACCGGGGTCCTCGCCTGGTGACCTGGTCCTCTGTGCGGACTCTGGGAGATTGGGGTGGCTGGGCGGGGCCGGTGCGCTGCTCTGGCCCTCTGGTGTTAGAGCCGCCTGCAGAGGCGCACGGTGGGACCGAGGGTGCTCGGGGCTGCCCCAGAGCCTGTGGGAGGTGCAGATTCTTGGGAGCCTTGGGGTTCCGTCCTAACCAGCCCTGCAGTGGCTGCTGTGCCTGAGGCGACTGTGAAGCAGAGTAGCAGATGACCCGAGGAACGGAGATGGGGACTGGGCCTGGCTGACCTGAGGACGTGCGCCCCCGCCCTGCAGGAGGGCCGCCCCACAGAGCCCATGTCCCAGCCTCTGCGCCGTCCTGAAGTGCAGGCCACCGAGAGCCTGCGACTTGGGGCTCACCTGGCTGCTTACTGTCCCGGGCAGTGTAGACGTAGCAGAACAGGTTACTGTCTCTGCCTTCGAGACCCCGGCTGTGACGTGGGCCCGGCCTCTCCCTGCAGGTTACCCCTCACCACTGGGTGGCTCCGAGCACGCCTCCAGTCCCGTTCCAGCCAGTGGCCCATCTTCGGGCCCGCAGATGTCGTCTGGGCCAGGAGGAGCCCCGTTGGATGGCACTGACCCCCAGGCCTTGGGGCAGCAGAGCCGGGGCCCCACCCCGTTCAACCAGAACCAGCTGCACCAGCTGCGTGCACAGATCATGGCCTACAAGATGCTGGCCAGGGGACAGCCCCTGCCTGAACACCTGCAGATGGCCGTGCAGGGAAAGCGGCCGATGCCTGGGATGCAGCAGCAGATGCCCACACTACCTCCGCCCTCTGTGTCTGCCACAGGGCCTGGGCCTGGTCCTGGGCCTGGGCCTGGCCCGGGACCAGCCCCTCCAAATTACAGCAGGCCTCATGGTAAGGCCCAGTGTCCCTGGTGCCCGGGGTGGGGGGTGGCTGAGTGAATTGGCCAGAGTGTGGCTGGCAGTGGCTGGCAATCCTGGGTGACCACCAGACACTTCCTGCCCCTCAGGCAGGCCCTGCAGCTGTTGCCATTCAAGCCCCTTCTCCAGTTGCCCCTCACCCCTCACCAGGGGCTGATGAGCGTGTGTCCCCTAAGCAGGTGGTGTGGGGCTGGTGCAGGTGTGAACTCAGCTCCCTTCTTAACTCTCCTCTGTCTTGACCTGGCTATAGGTATGGGAGGGCCCAACATGCCTCCCCCAGGACCCTCAGGTGTGCCCCCCGGGATGCCCGGCCAGCCCCCTGGAGGGCCTCCCAAGCCCTGGCCTGAAGGTAAGTCCCACCTCCCTCAGTGACAAGTGTGTGGCCTGCTCCCCATCATGACCCTGACCTGTGTGGGCCCTGAAACAGGATCGTCAGCGGGCCGGGTCGCTTCACCCAGCGGAAGCCCACGAAGCCGCCTTCTCTGGGTGTCAGTGTCACCTGCCAGTTCCAAAGCCTGTTCCCTGGCTCCTATCCTCGTTCCGTGGGTTGAGGTTGTCTCTGGCTGTTCTGGGAACCAGTGACAGGCAGAGAAGGGCAGTGAACAGGGCCACCGCATGGAGAGGTGCAGCAGCTGCCGCAGACGGCTCCTTGGCTGTGCTGCCCGCCCCTTTCCTTTGTGAGACGTCCCTTTCGGGGTGGACAGCCCGGTTCCCTTTGCCACTCCTGAGCTGTGTGCTTGGGCTCCAGGAAGTGGGCAGCACGGCCTTGTTCCTGTGCACTCGTGGTCTGAGGCGTAGGGATTGGCTCTGAAGAGCAGTCACTAAGCTTGGGTTCACTGGGCCTGGAAGACAGTGGCCCCGCTTCAGCTGTGGGGTGCAGTCA